TGGAGATGGTCTGTAATGTTCCGGCAAGTGCTGCCTGTTGACCGATCTGTGCGTACACTGAGGCAAGCCAATCGGAAGGAGGATCGAGGGCTCCAACTGGAAGCCGATGAACTGGGCTTGACCGCTTGCTTGGACATGGGCTTGTCGACAGGGCAGGAATGACGCTCCGCGTTCACATTGGAATTGAAACTAGTAGGTAAAAACCAATCAAAGCAAGGTACGGGGAGGACCAAGAACTGAGGGTTGAAAACAGGGGGGTAAAAGTGATGCTGGAACGTGAAGATAAAGGTGAAAAAGCGTAAGATGGAGGATAAGAAGATGGGAAGGCTTGAGCAGTAGCATCCAAACCTCTATCCACTCTGCTCGATGCAGCAGATAGGGCACCGTTGATTATTCTCTACGGGGGCCAGAGCATCAGGAAATTGTTTGATGAAAGATTCAGTCAGATAGCCATTGCACACCCGGAAAAGCGCTGTACGGTCGTTTCAGCCGTTCGAAAATCGTTAGCAATGCGTATTCATATGTCCACTGCAGGGCTAGTCCCGTGGCCGTCAAATGTGCACGATTTTTCGTCGGACCGTGCCAGGTGGAAAGATGATCGACAACCGCTAAGGTGGATGAATATGTTAACTGTGGTGGACTGCACTAAGGAGACAAAGTAATCGAACTACCAACAACGCCTTTGTCCAATCACATAAATGAAAATATCGTCAGGATTGATAGAGTTATTACACCGTATTGGGTCTAGTTAGAATAGGATATCAGCAGGAGGGGTTTTTAAGGGGAGGGGCTAAGCTGAAAAAGTCAAAAATTGTGTGTTTTTCAAAGCTCGATATATATGTCTAGATATAGTCAGATCTTCATGAACTTTTGCAGGGAATATCATCATTTATCATGCAAATAATATATGATAGAGAAATAATGATGTGTGTTTATTATGCTTTTATTCAAATTTTAGTAAGGTACCTAAATTAGTGATGCCAAATTGGTTGTTGTGGCGTTCTGGGTCCCATCAAAAAAGTGTTCTATGAATTGAGCTAAAATTTTTGCAGTTATTTAGATATAGTTCATCTTCCAATACTGGCGTTCAGATTTGCATAAAAATCTGAACTGAGGTTAAAAGTTGACCACAAGGGTAGAACACTTAAAATTAGTTTATTCCATGCAGAAACTAAAGAAGAGCATCTCCTCCAAATTTTATTGATTTTGGTCCATTGATTTTGAAATTATCCTCAGAACGCTGAAGTAAGAGAGAAAAAACGCAGTTTTGAGAAAAATGGCTTTAAAGTTGAGGTACATGAAAAAATGAGTCATTTAAACTTTTCTGGCATATCGGTAATTTATACAAATTTTGATGATGTCCCATGATATGATTTACGTAGAAAAACTAACCTGGACTACTCATGGGCACCAGCAAGATAGCAATCTTAAATGTCTTCACACTCCCTTGAAGCCGCTACTTCTCGTCCTCGTCGTTCAGCTGGCAGAAGTCCGGCGGCTGCTGCATGAATTCTTATTCTGTCTAGTTCATTACAACACAGTCTGGTACACAATCCAGTAGACATCCCCAATTTCTCAAATATAGACAGCCTACCCCTCCATCATTGGAAACCACTGCAGCATCAGCAACTGCAAGAGTAAGCCATTGCCTTCCAACAAAACCAGCCTTTGGACACCTTTGCCAAGTTAAATTGTGAAAACTTTCATTTGTATTTTGTGTTCCTCCATGGGCACACTTTGACAGTAATGTCTCACTGGCAAGAGTTTCAAAAACAGGCCTGATAGCCTTGCACACATAAGGAGGGAGAGCATTCCTGTCAGAGTCTCCAGCTGGCTGCTTCTTGGAAGAACACCAATCTCCACAGTTAGTGTGATCACGGTTGCGGTGCTCCTATATGGCCTATATATCCTTTTGCATCTGAGGCACATTATTAGTATTTCTTCTTATTGCAGAACCATAATGTCCTTGAATGTTTAACATTGCCTTCTTTGTCAGACCTCACCCACCGATTCCTTGCACACTCTTGCCATTGGGTATAATGGTCTTTTTTTCAGCTCAGTTATCTTATTGGTCAGGTGTCACCCCATTCTCTCCTGCACGTGCCCACAACACTCAAGTTTGGAAATGTTCACATCATTATACGCAGGCGGTTCTGCATTTGATACTGATGCATAAAAGTTACTGTCACCATCTCCAAGAAAAGAAACATAGTGCAGTCCATGTAATTGCTCACTTCGGCGGAATATTTCTAGTGCTCCAGCTGGCTCCATGCTGCTTGCCGATCCACTGGGATTCTTGTCGCAGTCTTGTACATGTGAACACTTCCATGCCTGAAACTCGGTCTCAGTTTTATTCCCCTGGTTTTTTGCACAAGCGTTGCAATAGTTTGACAAAACTGAGGTGTCGAGAACCTTCGAGTTATGACCATCCACTGTGAAAACTGTGACCACGCCATTTTTGCTCTGGAACCTCCTTCTCGGCTAAGTGCCATCACAAGAGACTGTTATATTTTCTCTTTTCTTTTCCTTGATCTCATCTGCAGCTCTCTGCATACTTTCTAGGGCAATGGTCTGTGTAACATGAAGAATCTTCTTATGAAGAAACCAACTGCTTTTATGCATATTTTAAGGCATGTTCATATTTCCAAAAAATTTCTTGCCATATTTATAATTCCTTCCTATGGCAAAGAGAGCAACTGGATACCTTCCATTGACTTCATAAGTCTTCCCACATTTTGCAGAGGACATAAATGACACTTCATGCTGACAATGACAGTGGAAAGTGAAGTTTGAGGCCAGTTAGCTTCTGGTTGCAGTCACATAAGATTCGTTCTTGCCCAGAGGCTGTCTACACAGAGGGCACAACAAACTGTTTACAAAGTTAACAAGAAGTTTAACATCAATAAATCGAAAGCAGATTTACCAGATAGGCCTTGCAAAGCCGAATCGAATGAAGTTTGAATGAAGTTTCTAGGACGTCTACAAGCCGAGATGCAACATTTTAAAATTTACGCATATATAATGAGATTGAATACATAGAAAAACAAGTAGCACATGCTTCACAAAATGCTGAAATGCTGCATTACAGATGCTAACAGAAAAATGGTTCGCAGATTTATATTCTAGGATGACTGCAGTTATTTGTATGGTTTTCCAAAATGATCAAAAAATGCGATTTTTCAGCTTAGACCCTCCCCTTAAGTAGGGATCAGAAAACGGGGATGTTGCTATCACATCGACGGCGATGCAGTGTCTAGTAGAGAGCCAGTACAAATTTCAATCCGCTAGAGAACAGACTGCACCTTTGAAGTTCCAAAATCGGCGTACACAGCTAGACATTCGCCATAGAGGGCCGCTTCAGAAAAATTAGAGGATCAACCGACCACCCAGACGTCAATTTTCTAAGATGCTGGCAACAACAGACTATCCAAACTATCTTACCAGTTCTGACCCAGGTATTGCACAGTCAAACGAGACTTTAGCAAGCAAAACACGTGAATGCGTAACGTGAGGCCCCTTGTTGCTAACCGAAGGTCAAAGGCATCAGTGAAAGAAGACATGAAGAAAGTGCAGAAGTAAGTAGGCTGGTCTTGCTTTCTAGTATCATAGAGAATGTTGCCGGAATATAGTTATTCACAGTCTGTTAACAGATATTGCGCCATCAGAACCATGGCAGAAGAAAAAAGTGCAGATGAAAACAGGAACTGCGATTAAAAATGGGAAACGAGTTTCTGTTTTTACACACGCCATTTTGTATGTTTGTTTTTGTTTTGTGAGTGTTTGTATGCATTAAAGGGGGGATATAATGGCAGAACAACATTGACGCCACTGAGGTCTGTTGTGGGCCACGACGTCTAATCTTACCAACCACTGCGATTCAGCATCTCGTGGTCCCCAAGCTGGAAGACAAACTGGTCCGACTGCCGCCAAATTTGAGGTTGCCTTCTTCATGCTACTTCTCCACGTCATTGGCTGTCCACCGCGGCATTTTTCCAATCGCTCCCTGGGAGTGCAAATAGCGCTTGACTTGGAAGGCGATGGGCTGGCATGCGCAGAACGTGCCCGAGCGAACGCATGCAATGTCGGAGAATAACGTCATGAAGACTGGCACTATTCGCTCCAAGCACGCGGTCTCGCACCTCTGCGTTGCTTACGTGGTGCTGCCACCACACCCGAGTAATCGTAGACAGCGATTGTTGAAGGCTGACAGCCGTTTCATGTCTTCCGAGCGAATAGGCCAAGTCTCACAGCCTTACAAGAGTACTGCAGGGACGGAAGCATTGTACATCCTGCCCTTGAGCTGACACTGACATCACGAGAACCCCATAGGTGTCTCAGTTTAATGAATGCAAGACAGACCTTTGAAATCTGTGTTGAGACTTCATCTCCAACACCGCCACCAGCCGGCATAAGATCGAACTCTTAAAAGGCAGTGTTGGAGGCGATCCAGTGTGCTTACAGAGACTGGTTGGCAATTGTTTGAGATAAGGGCAAGGATTTCAAGCTAATAAACAATAACTAGCCCAGATGTATTTATGACCCCAAGTGCTATACTTGCGAACACGACCTGTCGAAAGCGACTTCAGTGTTATTCACTTTGTTGTCTGAACTCAGTTGGCGACAATGCAACTCGATACATTGCCGGAGGAAGAGACGAACCACAGCTCTTGAGTCCCATAACAATTAAGTTGGGCCCAGGTACACTGAGCCGGGTATCACATGGGGGTTAGAAGGAGCGACGGTTAAATAGCCTTCCACTTAAAAAGACAGTGGACGGTGAGTCTAATACGGTCTATGAATGAAAAACTCGAAAAGTAAATAGGAAGCACTAAACAACAATGGAAATCGGTTTCATCAGAAGGACTAAAAGGAGACCAGCTGCATTTTCGAGCAAGTAAACTCTGAACACGTTTGCTAAAGAAGCTCCGCTTATTTCACAGACAGAAGTTAGTTCAAAGATTGAGTAGTCACACGATCATATGAAAGGCTAACAAACTCACCATCTGTGTTCAGCACCAACACAATGGGTTGCCCGGATTTGCAAGCTAGGACAGCAAGCTTGCGACCTGGATCGATCCAGGTTAAGTCCAGGCCTTGAAATGAAAGTGGGAGTACATATTGCTGCTCCACCGAGTAGGTAAATCGAGGTTTCACCTCGCAGCGAACGCGACTAGAACCGTAGGAGGTTGAATACATGATCAAAGAGCACGATTGTGAGGATGTCTCGGTGAGAACAAAGAGCTTGCGAGTGTCTGGTGACAGAACACATTTGCCATGGATCAGATTAGAAGTAAACTGGTGACGCATATTCTTCACGTGGCTTTGAAGGAGATTATGATCTGTTGTGAAGAAAAAGAGAAGGAACTTAACCATCATTAAAGTAGTGATAGGTTGTGTCCAGCGACGGTGGTGCGAAAACAGGTGGAGCCAATCAAGAATATGATTTTCTATGGTCCGTATGGGAAAGCACTCATGTAAAAAGAAAAGTACACCTGACTGACTAGAAATCAAGAAAAACAGGTAGTTGTGAACTTATCACTAACGTATCTCACCCTAGCGCCTAATAACAATCGCCTACATATGTTGATCAGACTAGCAGCCAGTTGGGCATAGAGCAGACCACGAAGAGTTTCATAATGATCAGAACTGCGTTTAGTTCTTTGTAGTGCTCTCACAGAGGAAAACGCATTAATGGAAGTGCTGTAGTAGCAGATAGCCGTTGGGCACAACCGCGAATGAGAGATGCCTGACAGTGGACACTTTGCAATCACGGAGAAAGCGAAAACAAAACCGTTAAATTTCTACCTTCACTCCCTGCTAAGCACGACTTAATGCAACAACCAACAACTGAACGGGAAACGATAATAACGGAATAAGGCTAACGTGTGTGCTAAGGTGCTGTGACAAAACGCAGCGACGGGATTTCATTATGAAAGTCGATAAAAACAAAAAGGAACGGAAGCAGTTCGCAGCTGGTACCCTGTTGCGCGTCATTCAGAGTGTAGTTTTCCTTGCGCTAGGTAGTCGTACAGAGAAACCGGAGCAGTCACCAGTGGGCTACCACCGAGCGTCCTCAAAGGTGGTTAAAGATCGCCAAAGCCATGAGTCCTGTTCAGCTCCCGCAGCATAGGTGGCGTCGAACATCGTCGATGCCGTGATTTGATAACCAACATAGGCAGATCCAACTAACAAGCTAACAATTCTGGTGCACTCGGACGGTTGCATTGCTCTTGTAAATACGCTGTCCATCACTCGAGGTGAAGTGGCTGGATGAATCATATGTTCACATAGATAAGTCACTATCACTGCAGTGTATTTAAACAATACGACCTTTGTTAAAAGAACATTCTTCTTCACCAAAGACGCTGGTAGTCCTACCATGTTCCCGCTTAGCATAAAGACTACTAATCAGAGAAAGTTTCAGTGTTTGTGACAACCTGGAACAGTTTTGGACGCATCCATCAGGATGGCCAATGTGCCAGAAGTGTAATCACTAAACAGATGCTTCATGTTAGCTAACAACAACAACAACAACTAATAATAATAATAATAATAATAATAATAATAATAATAATAAAATTAGCCAGAGAGCAAATTCAAGTTGAACACTCCGCAGACAGGATAAGTGTGACGCGAGTATTCACGAGAGCACGATCAGAGTCGAGGCGAATTCCCTGGATAGAAAGAATCATGTATTGACGTGCACCATTTACAGCTGGTGGCGACGTGGTTAAGTTCACCCAACGGCGTCGTGCCGCTCAGTAGAGACTATATATCTTTGTGCTAGCGCACGCGCAATAAAGCTCTACCGCAGATTGTGGTCAGTACTCCCATGTAAAAAGAACAGCCAGGACAGTTAGGACAGCAAACATTCACCAAAGACTGAGAAGAGACTGACTTGAGCACTCATACCGCCAGCAACGATTACGATGTTCGCGCTTCTGGTTAGTCGGATAAAAGAGGGTAACTGACTGCAGGATTCGGCTGACACACATAAAAAGGGGATAAAGATGAAACAACAAAAAGTACCTTCCCTTAGGTAGCCGCTTCCCAAATGCGACTGAGGTTTGAAGTCGAATCGTACCTATACGGTAGTGTGCAAAGATACTCCCTATAATAAGGACCCATCTCAACGAGACTGGACCTTAGCGAAGTGGGGTGGTTTGCATACCTCTGTAACCTATTGTGCTGTGCTTGATAGTACCTACCAAGCGCTTTCCGAACCACTCATACCAGACAGGCCAGTGATCAGACTAACGGTCTCACAATCCGAACCCCTTTGGAGGTTAGGAAGAGGTTGATGGTTACCTTCCTCTAAAACTAAGTCACGGGAGACAACCGGTCTACGGGTAGTGCCTATCTTCAAGAAGAGTCAGCGTACTTTGTGCGAAAATCGTCGAGGTATCAGCCTTGTTTCCACTGCATAAAAGCTCCTCACGGTCAACACTCTCCGACGACCTACTGGTCTCCGCGGGAACCGATTCACTGAAAACCAAGCTGGCTACCGCCTCGGTCGTGGTTGCATCAACCACGGATTTACTCTTCGCCAAGTATTAGAGCACAGACACATACAGACGACCAATAATGATGGCTTTTGTTGACTTGTAGGCCGTTTGCGACTCCGTTGACCGCGGCATTTTGTAGCACTGGCTATCTATGAAGGGAGCGCCGACTAAATTCCTTTCCATTCTTGTCTCTCTACCGTGATTCCCGGGGAGGTGTAAGGGTCTACGGGAAATCGTCTCTTGAGTTCCCCACTACAAATGAAGTTCGCCAGAGTTGTCCTATACTTCCTTTCGTTTGCAACATCGTTATGGAAATGAGCATGAGTGACTCGGTTATTTCAGACTCTACCGCAATGGAAGCTCTGCCAGGTGACCGACTGACAAAACTGGAGTAAGCGGATGATGTAGCTCTTCTTGAGTCCGACGCAGTGGTTATGCACTGTTAGATAGACTGATGCGTAGTGTTGTACGCTCCGGTATGTGTTTTGCACCTTCAAAGTGCAAAGTACTGCTGCAGGACTGGACCGACACATCTCCGGTACTAGCTATCACCGAATAGCCACTAGAAGTAGTGGATCGGTTCACTCAACTTAGTAGCTATGTCACTTGGTGGTCACATCACTTAGGAAGTTGTTTCGTCTATCTGCAAGACCTGTTTGGCTTTCCAGAGACGCAAGCATCTATGGAGACGGCAGGATTTCAGCCTGTCAGTGAAAAGTAGAGTGTACAACGCTATGGTAAGGCCGGTCTTACTGTATGGATCGGTGGCCTGGCCAGTTTGCGGCCAAGACATTAAACGCTTGGCTGTGTTTGATCACCGGTGCTTGTGGAGTATTGCTCATGTCTGGTGGAAACATCGGGTGAGCAATGCTGAGGTCCACTAGTTGGTTTTTGGCAATAAGCCTTCTGGTGCCTTACACGAGTGCTTGCTGAGGTTTAATCGCTTACGTTGCCTAGGCCATGTCCTCCGTATGCCCGTTGACCGGCTTCCTCGGCGTGCATCATACACCGTGGCTGCACCAAGTTGGATGAAACTACAGTGTGACCAGTCCATGACGCTGCATAGTGGCACAAAGAAATTGACTGAGAGACTTAGTTAAGGCAGAGAGAAGACAGAGGTTGCGATATGTTAACATTTCGATTGTTCTCCTCAGTCGCAAACACAATACGATCAGAAACATACAAGGGATTATATACATATATACATATATATATATATACATATACATATATATATATACATGAGAGACTTAGCCAGGCCGGTGCGTGCCGTCTTCGTGGATGAGGAGCTTGGGAAGGTGCACACCAATGGCTGGAGACCCTATTAGGAATGGCGCGACCACAAGTCAATGGTGTTCCTGCATTCGGTTTCTTGCATCTGGTTAATTGTGGTTCCATTCTGATTAGTTTAACGCACTTCTTTACTTTCATTTTCTTTACATTCTATTTAACCTTAACGCCCCTTTTGCCGTTAAAATTTATATTTATTCGTGAGATGTGAGTCGTGGCAACTGGATCCATCGCACTTCCGTGCTCGGATCACAGTTGATCAACAACTAAGTATAAAAGAAACCTCCGCATGTATATTGTGAACGATTCCACCCTGCAAAGGCCGTGGATTCGACACCACCGAACATTCGAAGGGTAGAAGCTTTATCATTGGGACTGTCTGACAGCGTAGATGGATTAGGGCACTGGCATGCATTACGCATGACACGGAGACTTCATACATGTATTTCAAGGCAGGTACAGCCAGTGCCGTTTACTAACCGAGCCAAGACACTGTGTTGATGTTGGAAGACCTAATATAGAATGGCCCATTAAATTTGTTATATCACCCTGTCTCTTGGCTAGTGTGGCTGTTAAAGTCCGTGGTAATCTTTTGCTTTGCTCCATTCCATGGTTTAATGGTTTACTCCCCAACATTGTTGGGAGCAAGTCCAGTTCAGGAGTGTGACTACAAAATCCTACGGTGAGCTGCTACATACCAGCCTCAAACAGCCTTAAAGAATAATTCATGCAGGTACCTTTACACCAGCACACTATACATTTGTGATCACAGTCAGCTGTAGGTGTGATTTTGCGAGTTCGTGTCATTTTAACTAGAGTTTATCTGGTTTTAAGCGAGGTAACAAACCAGAGATAACGTGATACCCTCCCACTGTCAGAAACAACCAGCGGTGTTCATGTCCTACGCCAATCGAGTTGCGCTAATAGTTGATCCAAGATGATCCCTCATGGCTAAATGAGATACTAAAAGATTCATTGTCATTTTCACAACAACCAATAGGGATGACGTTGAAACTGAGCTGATCTGATCTAAACAACTGACTTGTTTAATATGAGTCCAGGATGAAGTAGTTTCACAGGAAGAAATGAGGAAGCCAATTGAGCTTTTCATTGACTTCCTTATGCATTCAACAGTCCAGAACTACCTCCGAAAGCATTTCGACCCAAGTGATGAACCGACAGAAGGAGAATGCTGTCTTCAAGACTGTACATCAACCCAACGCTAGCATCTTACAGCGCAGCCACGATTGCAAGAGAAGTGGTGTCCGGGAGAAAGTTTACACTCAGACGAAAGCTCTTTTAGGAGAAAAATGGAACAAATATTGTACAGCCGAAGCATTAAGTCGCTGCAATAAATTACAAGTTCGTCGTGTGACGTGTAACCTACCTGCATTGGTCCCGATCGATTCCACATTAATGTCGGCAGCTGGCGTTTTTCAGAAATGAACGTGCCTGGGATGACTTACAAATATCTACTGAGTTTCACACTAGTTGTATCCATTTTGGTAGGTGGCCCAACAACACACATTTCCATCAGACCGTAAAGAACGAGATAAGTTTGATCGGAATCACACAAAACATCCAACAGCACGACTGGCTTTGTGGAGTGGCAAGTAGCGCAGTCCAATGGATAAAGGAGGTATGCAAACGACTGTATCACTCTAAGTCTTGGTGCAACGGATAAGAACATGTTGGATGGTAAAGAAACTCACAGGAGCTGTCCCAAGAGCGATTCAACATTCGTTCACGAAGGCCAAGATGTTGCAATGCAGTCCAAGATGGAGTGGATGCGCAACGACTTAACAAATCCCGAGCGATACGAGCGCTTTCATTGTGAGCCCGCTTAGAATTCACAGTACCACGAGTAACAAAATCGGGAAGCTCTTCTTTACTGATTTTAAAATAACGTTTCTTCTCAGAGTCATAATAGAATCCTGGAATATCATCTGATGACATCAAGAAACTGAAGTCCAAAATTAGTTTGGAGGAGGAAACCACTAAAACCGGAAAATAATATTGACAGGATGGGGGAAAAGCATGGTCCGCTGTACACAGAAAAATACATCAGAAAGAAATGCCCAACATGACGGCGCAAAAAGACAAAGTGGTAAGGCAGCGATGTAGGTAGAAATCACAAATACGATCGTCCGAAACTGAGTTAGATAGACAAGACAGTGGCAAAAATTTGGTAGAGGAACGGCACAGTTGACGAATATCAGAAGCAAATAATTCTAGAGATAGCATACATTCCCAGTGAACAAATAACGTATTCGTAAGATTAACACTGAAAAATTAATGAAGAGCCAAAAACGAGCGCAGAATACTTCTTGTGAATGTGGCACATTTGATTCCATCGCAGAGACGCACACGCTTGGCACAAAAGTGTCAGATAGGCAGTGATGCACTCAATAGTTTACAACATAAATACACCACTTAGAGTGGCATAGGAAATCTGGCGGCACTTCATTAACGCAAATTTGTCAATAGATAACTATCAACAGTACATCGATAGTTAAGTGATCATGCCCTTGTCGAGTTTGGAAATCGGCTTGCAGACGTCTCATCAACAAACAGGTGGACATCACTGCGTACCAATTGGCGGTGCTGCTTACGCATAAATAAAAGGACTGAGTAATAAGTTTCCGGATACGCAGTACTCAGATTAGGTGCAGATGACCTGGCAGAAAAAATGGTAAACCGTAATCCATACTGATTTCAACTCACAGAACCTTGGAACAGCAGCACAGCACAGTTCACAAATCCTAAGGGTCTCTATACTACGACTATAAGTATGGAGGTCAGTCGATGTCACTGGAAAGCGATTGTTCTCTTATTACAAATGTGGTTTAAAAGTGTCAAAATGTTGAACGGTTACGTGCTAGGTTTGGTGATGATCCGTCTCCAAGTACCCCGTGTTTGTGTGGTATGCGGAATTCAAGCGTGGTAGGCGGTCCCTGCGGATGATGTTGGGGTCCTAATATGTAACCATAGTCCCAACGAAACTTCATGACATGTCCGTTACCCGCAATTCTTCTCATGCTATGGCGTTCCCGGTAGGTGACGCGTTCTACGCTAACCCAGTGGCCAGAGTGACAAGTAAGCTAGCTGGATCCCTCAATCCTCGGAAGCCACTATTCATTGGATGCTGGAATCTCAGAACCCTGTTAGATGATAGCCAAGTGTTGACAATGTGCACACTACATGACAACCAGATCGACATAGCATGCCTATCAAAATCTCGAACACCCGGCTATGGTCCCCGACAAATCAAAATCTCTGGTGTAGACACCTCATATTGGCTTTACCACAGTGGGCCGGAAGATAATTCTGGCAATCAAGGAGTCGCCATGGCTCCCAGTTGCCAGGCCCACTACGCTCTGCTTTCATGGAAGCCAGTAGCAGCTAGATTAGTAGTTGCACGCTTCAAAGGTCACTCGATGAATTTGACCATAATCTGTCTACGCACCAACCTTAACCTCAGCGGAAAGTGACAAAGACGAATTTTATGATACTCTAATAATAATAATGTGTCAGCTGAACGCCGTAAGGGCGCTTCGCTGCCGCGCGACCACCACCAGTCGCGCGCGGGCTGAGTATACCGCGTTACGATACTCTACAGACAGTGGTGAATCATGTTCCAAAACGCGACATCCTTATTATTGCTGGGGACTGGAATGCACGAACCGGTCTAGGGAACAATTAAACCCGTCACATACTAGGGAGATACGCCTTTGGAGAGCGCTGTGATAATGGAGACCGTTTGCGCAGTTTCATCGAGTTGAACCGGTTGTGCGTAACCAATACTCGCTTCCAGCATCCCAGGAAGCATTTTTTGACATGGTACTCCAAGGAAGATCGCAGAGCAAGCCAGATATATTACATCTTAATCTGATCACGGTGGCTGTCCTCCATCGATGACTGTCGAGCGTACAGAGGGGCTGAAACAGGCAATAAAGGTAGTTCGGATCACGTACTCCTGCGCGCTAAATTCAGACTCCGGTTGACAACGCGCCGAAAGACCCTTCCACCTAAGCGTATCAACACTGCCCCACTGGAAAATACTGAATGCTGCCGAGCCCTTGAGGCAGCAATAGAAGCAGAAATTGCTGCCAGTATACCATGCCTCGTAATTGCAGAAGATGAATCTGTAGACACTCGTTGGTTTAGGCCAAAACTGTCAGTTCAAGGAGGCGCCTTATCTACCCTGGGCTCTATCTCTAAGCCTGTGAAGGACTGGAGCACTGAAGATATTATCAAGTTGCCCGCTAAAGCGAGCGAAGCACGACTCACGAATTCCCCAGACAACCGTCGCTTGAGACGTAAGGAAACGCGCTCAGCACGGAATGATCGCAACCGCTACTGGTCTGATATCACAGGTAAGATAGAAGCTGCATCAAATTATGGCAAATTTGGGTCACTTCTTTCCTCTCATGTGTTAAGCTTCCGGCAAGCGACATTTAGCACAGCTGATATTGCGCAAATCGGAAGTCTAAATCATCCCCAATACGGAAGGGGTAAAGTATTTTAGCAATCTCCTAAACCGCTCATTGCACAACACCGCACCCATCTCAGCATTAATCTAGCCAGGATATGACGCGGATTGCTCACAGCCATTTTGCGTCTGAGCTCTTCAGAAGCTCAGCTGGATGGTAATTATGGGCTTAACTTCGAAAAGACTGACGAAGGCGAGCGTCTGCTGCAACTGTGTGCGGAGCACCAGTTGTTTCTTACTAGCACTGCTATTAGGCACAGTGGGTGCCGAAGTGCCACTTAGCGTCCCCCTTTAGCTGGCCAGCGATGGACCCAAATCGACCACATAGCCACAAATTACAGGTGGCGTGGTTTTATCCTGGATTGTCCCTCGTACTGGAATACCTGCGTCGACTCTGCTCATGTCTTGGTACGCTGTCGTTTCTCCATAAACTTTACCGGGAAGCGCACCAAGTGTCCCCTGCGATTAGCAACTGAGAAATTGTCTCAGCCCTCGGCCAGGCAAGCCTATCAAGACGCGCTGCGTACCGAACTTCCGCTGTCTTGTCCGAATGACAGAGCTTCAGTGGAATAGGATCTCAGTCGTCATGCAGGATGTATGAGCATCTGCTTGTGGCACTATCCATCATCACCGCACCAGTCACTGAATATCCGAGAGGTCAGTAAACCAGGTGGAATCAAGAAGAAACCTCCCGACTGGCTCTGAGCACAATGTGACCAGACGGGCTATTAGGCGTGAACTAAAACAGAGCCTACGTGTTGACAAGGAGGCCTGCTGGAGCAATAGGGTTCAAGAAATGAAGGAGGCAGGAGCAGTACACAATTACCGTAAGCTCTTCCAGCTGATCCGCATCACTGGTCCCGGAAAACCAGGCGTCAGTGAGACAATTAGAGTCAGCACGGGTGCGCTGATACACAATATGGAGCGCCGTATGGCTCGTTGGGCGGAACACTTTCAAGATCAGTTCAGTTGGCCGCCTGCTCCCGAACTTCTTCCTACTCAGGTGATGCAGGAGAAGCCATGGAAAGTTAGTTTAGAGCCTCAGTCCGATGCCGAGCTCCGAAACGCGACCACAACCACCAATGGTTTTCGTGCCGCTTGTTCACTTTTTCTCGCTATTCCGAATTAACCACCCAAAGACGTATCCGCAGAATGCTATCCAAGCCGAAGAAAAATCAAAATTCCAACGACTTTGACCACGAAAAACGTGTTCAGGAAAAGCTCTGCCAACGTAGTCAGATAATGCCGCTGAAACACTGTAGTCTCAACTCTGAGGCAAAGTACAATTAGCTGGGTGCATGAAAACGCGTTCGTCTGCTCGATCGATCGCCTGATCGACCGTAAGTGGTAGGAGGTTCCCTTCAGCCCAGCTTTCAGTCACCCTTACATAATTCCTTTATGTTTTTATCTTTCTCCTGGATACCGCTGGCCCGGATTCCCTCCCACCTGCACTATTTAAAGCAGGTAAGGTCCTCTGCAAAGACCAGACCCCCTACCCGAACCTATCTGGAAGCAAGTGTCCCGCCTAGTCGGAGCGAATCGATTATAGTGGTAATATACAAGAAGAGCAGTCGCCCAGACTGTTCTAACCACAGGGGTATTAGCCTAACGCCAGTCCTGACAAAATTACTGGCCTCGATTCTCGTTCATCGCCTCACTGCAGAGCGGGAATCTCGGACTAGGGAAGAGCAGGCTGGTTTCTGCCCAGGACGTGGCTGTATAAACCATATATACACCTTGCGGCAGGAGCAAGAGCAGCGCCACGCATGCCGCAGACCGACAATAGCTGTCTTCCTCGATTTCAACAGTGCGTTCGACTCAATCGATCGATCGATTATGTTCGAAATACTTGCGCGGAAAGGTGTTCCCACGAAATATGTGAACATTCTTCGTCCTCTATATTCGAACACTACAGGTAGCGTCACGGTCTACGGTGGACTATCGGATAGCTTTCCGACCACAAGTAGCGTCCGTCAGGGTTGTCCAATTTCCCCATTTTTGTTCAATTTCGTCGTGGATTCTACCATAGAGTGTTCCCTTGCGGAATCTCACGATGTAAGCGTTGAAGTACTGCCTGGTGAAACGTTAGTTGATCTAGATTATGCGGACGATATCGTCTTGCTTTTCCAGGATGTTGGGGTGGCACAATCAACCCTGAACAGCCTGTGCAGAGTGGTCCCATTATTTGGTATGCGTTCTGCACCTTCAAAGTGAAAAGTGTTGCTTCAGGACCACCAGCTACTTGATGACCACTGGACGCTTGCTACCGAGGAACTCGAGGTGGCTGATCATTTCACTTATCTTGGCAGCTGCATCAGCAATGATGGGCGCATAGAATCAGACGTCAGCTCAGGCATTGCAAATGTTGGAACTGCCGTCTTGAACCTGCGGCATCTTTGGCGACAGAAGGGAGTTTCCCTCCGTCTGAAAGGCCGAGTATACAAAGCCACAGTGAAGGCCGTTCTGCTGTATGGTAGTGAGACTTGGCGCCTTCGGTCCGAAGATC